GACATGGTGTACATTGCGCCGCCACAATCGCTACTCGCTTGTCATGCAGCATTTTTAGACGCACTCTCGCATTTGACGCTCACCAATGTTGAAGCTCAAGATTCGTTTTTTCAATTGCCGCCCAAAACATACCTGGGTCCTGCCCCCGCATCGCTGCTCAGCAACACGTCCGTGGAGCTTGTCGGTGGGAATATCTTATGTGGCGATGACCAGCGGCCGTTCTCACCTTCGCTCGGTATGGCGATCCCATTTGGCTTTGATTCCGCCTGCTCGTGGTGGCTCATCGACTTCTTCACGCCTTCGACGACAGCAATAACGTTTGCGTTGCTCGGGTATAATGGCTGCCAACGACTTCCCATGTCATCTGCAGACGTTGCGTCCTGTTGCGCGAATGACATTTATGCAGAAGCGACGTGCACCGACATTTATGGCGCCATTCAGGCCTTTCTAGCGACATACGACGGCGCCTTTACGCGTGCCGTCGACATGGCCCTCGACGTTCGACGCGACGTCGACGCCCTGGATATTGAACTCATTCAACTTGCGCGCGCTCCACCGCTTAATACTACGCAGCTACTTCGTGCGCGTCTCTTGGACCCTACCCTCGAGGCCTCCTGGACCTTCTTTGGATGGGTCTATCTGTACGAGTGGGCCAGTGCGATGCGCGAGGTCGTGGCATTTCACGGCGACAATGGCTCGCTTGTTTTGCTCTCATCTGTGAGTCCACCTGTATCGCTCTCGCTGTCGCCATCCGAGATTCCGCTCCAGCTCAGCTACGTCTGCGCCTCGATCGTTCGGTATGTCACGATGGTCTTGCTGCTTGCTGCCGTCATCGTTGTTGGCTACGTTACAGTCTTACGCGGCGCTGTCGAGCCATGGAACCTCTTTGAGATCAACCGCGTCGTCGGGCACACGTGGGTTGGACGGCTGTTGCTAGTCGTGCGCAGTGCAACGGCGCTCTGGCTGCTCAACACATCGCGACTGGAGCTTGCGCGCGTCGGTGTTGGCACCGTCTTGCACGCTCCTGCGTTAAGTGCGTTCAAAGTCATCTTGGCGTCGTCCGAGCTCACGTGGCTTGTCTATATTCTCAACAGCCTCGGGAGCGTCTACACCCAGCAGTACACGCGGTCGTACGCATATCTGAGCACGTCGACCACGTGGCTGAGCGCAATGCTTCTCGCGCTCTTGCTGCCGCAGTCGTATTCGGCGTCCATGGACCGGCAGTGTGTTTACATCAACATGGACGCTGCGCTCGACTGTACAAGCGCGATAGTCGCTGTGGGCAGTCTGCGACATTTGCTCTATGACGTGGCCGCCGCGCTGACGTGCGTCGTGGGCAGTGTGCTCGTGGAGCGCTGGCGGATACCAAAGCGTCCGCCGATGGCGATGACCTCTTTGCTGCTGGACTCGACGAGCTACTTTATGTTTGATTTTGCAGCTTGGACAAAGCCGAATAGAGAGTGCTACCTCGACCGGGCGTCCGCGTTCCTTGCGGGCCTGGTGTCGCTGCATGTCGACCAGACCATGTACGTCTTTGACGTCAAAAACTGGCGCCTCTTTACATACGACACGCCGCGATACGGCCTCGGTCGCTTAGACCGCGCGATTGCGCTGTATCGAATCTCCTAAGTCTCGCCATTGTGTGCCAACGTCGCTAGTACTCCCATGAAAACGAGTCGTCCTTACGTGCTCAACACTGTCGAACCGTATCGGGTTTTAGAGCGGATGGCAACTAGCTAAGCTGTGATGTCGTGTGCTCGGTGACCTAGATACGTCTTCAAGAACTGCGGCAGTTTAATCTTCTTTGTCGTTCCTACGTTTGTCTCTATGCACAGGTGCGTAGACGAGGACGATGTTTGCTGACGAAGCTCGTACAGAAACGGCCTCAACGATGTTGAAGATGGGGAAATACACTCAGTCCGCTCAATCGAGACTGTCGAGGCTTTGCACGCGACGTCACATCGACAAGAGCATCACGCACGGCTCTGGAAACGCAGTGTGAGTGGCATATCATTAGCACCCACGATGACACGCTTCTCGGCCATTCCCAAGCGGTCTTGGTTGGGCGAGTCGTTCGACGTTTCAATCTTTGCGCCGACGTCGAATCGCTCCCGAGTTGGCTCGGCTACAGCTCTCTCTACTAGACACAACGACCACGGCCTGCATGATACTTGGTGACAGCTCACCGTGACGGTGCTAGGTTAGCGGACTGGATAGTTCCCAGTTATATCACTCGGACTCGATGGTGGAGTGTATCCTCTTGCACCGGGTCAGAGCCAACCAACTGCATTGGCGCCAAAGACAAGCCTGCAGCGTTCGCGGATGCGCGCGGCGAGCATCAACTTGGACTGCGTCTCTCATCCGATCGAAGCCGCACCCGTGTTGCCGTGACGTGTCCGCAAGGCGACGCCACCTTGAAGACAGCGGAATTCAACTTTATGCAAGCAAGCGCAGTGTGAGTTCGCAGAGACCCGCCCTGTCGCGAACGCTCGGCGCCGCTGTACGGTACGAGGTCGCGTGCCACTTGAGTACGACGAGCAATGCCGTGACGTTCCGGCATCGCGCGGCGATGGCAGCTGCCGCGAACTATGTCGTCAAGCGATTGTTTGCCAAGTCGCTGTCGTCACCGTCATAGGCTGCAAGAACGTGGCGCCACGGCAAGACTGGGCAACTTGTGCGCATAAAAGTGGCATCTGCCACCATCTGGTGCGCAAAAAAGCACCGTGTCGCGCGTGATTTTAGCAGGTTGGCGACACCCCAGTCACGCGTGCACTGAACCTTTGCAAGGCAGCGTGGCGCAGGCCAATCGCCGCCATCCTGAATCAAACGCGTTTCTATGAACTACACAAAGGGCAAAGTGGGAAAGGCGGTACCAACGTTTTCTCGGCCTATTTCTCAACTTTCCACACACCAGCGATGGCACATAACCAAGCGACGGAGCTTCTGCCACCGTTTGCCTGCGAGCCCAAGGCCCGAAAACTGCAGCTCACGGTCGACGATCTCTGTGCACCCGAGCAGTGGACACCGCTCGACGATCGCCACATGTGCGGCGTCTGTGAGCGCGACTTTTCGGTCTATCTTCAAAAGCACCACTGCCGCAAGGTACATTTTCGATCGCGAGCAATGACAGGGTACCATACTTATGTATACTATAGTGCGGAGACGTGGTGTGCAATACATGCACCGAATACAAGCCCGCCGTGTACCCCGGGCGCGACCAGCCCGTCGACGTCATGCTTTGCAAGCCGTGCATTCTCAAGCTCGATGGCTCGGCCGCGCCGTCCTGGAACGTACCCGTGCCCAACATGCCACAGCTCGAGTTCCCTTCGGACGTGACCAAGGCCAAGTACGACGACGACAGCGACGCCTGCCACGTATGCAAGCGCGAGTTTACTATGTTTCGGTGGAAGTACCATTGCCGATGGGTAAGCCATTATCTCATCACGCGAATGCTCATGTCGACGCCACTAGTGCGCCAAGGGCGTCTGCAACGAGTGCCGCCCAAGTAAGCCCGAGAAGAGCCTCGGCTTGCAAGAAGGCAAAGTCTGCCTTGCGTGCATCCTGGCCGAAACCAAGACGACCGTCTTGTGGGACGACCGGTGGTATCCCCACGGCGACCTTGTGCACACGGCGGTCGACCACGCGCACGCACCGCCCGATGCCATGGACGCGCCGCTCGACTTCAGCTGGGGCTTTCCGTGGCCCAAGCCGCCGGTCCTCGTGAACGAACGCGCGCGCCTCCAGAAGCTCCGGAGCCTCCACCTCCTCGACACACCGCCCGAAGACGCGTTCGACGCGGTCTGCGACTTTGCGAGCAACGGGCTTGGGTGCACCATGGCGGCGATCGGGCTTCTCGACGAGCACCGCGAGTGGTTCAAGGCTCAAGTCGGCCTTGCCGCGCGCGAAATTCCGCGCAACATTTCGTTCACAGCCCACGTGCTGCAGTCCAAGGAGCCCATGGTCGTGCTCGATACGCTCAAGGACAAGCGGTTTTATAAAAACCCAATGGTCACCAACGTCGCGGCCGTCCGGTTCTTTGCGGCCGCGCCGATCGTGACTGGCGACGGCATTCCTCTCGGCGCTGTCTTTGTACTCGACACGCGGCCGCGCGACGCGTTTGACGTGGCGACACTCGAGCGGCTTGCGAGCGTCGCCATGACCAACATCGAAGACCGCCAAGCCAAGGCGCATAGCGACCTCGACGACGACTTTGACGGCGTGCTGGCGTCGCCGCTGAGCCCGGTCCGCGCCTCCATGTCGATCAAACTCAGTCAGTTTAGCGAACACACGACGTCATCGCACAGCCACGGCAGTCACAGCTCGGGCGTCCAAGACCAACTCGCGCAGCTCACGATGCAAGACGAGCCCGTGCTCCTTATTACAAGCGCCGAACTCCTTCGCCGCGACGACTGGGCCCCCGCGGCGGTGCGGTCGGCGTGCGAGCGCTGCCACCAGCCGTTTAGCATGCTGCGCCACCGCCACCACTGCCACACGGTACGCCTGACATGGACGAGCGACGAGGACTCATATTAGTTGTCTAGTGCGGTGAAGTATTTTGCTCGACGTGCCTCGTCGAAAACATGGCCGAGCGGCCAGGCGGTATCGGCGTGCAAAAGGTCCACGTCTGCTCGACGTGCCTTAGCATCGCGACGGTGCTCGGCAACTTCAAGCACTCGCGCGCCATGCGCAAGGCAGTACTGGACACGCTTGGGAAGCCCGGGATCGAATGGCGCCCCAACAACATGAAGCGACCGGCGTCCAAGACGGGCGAATTTGCCAACAAACTCGAGCTCATCAAGCGCCTCGAGGAGCGCGACGCCATGCCGCTGCGCAACCTGCTCAACCCGGACCAGTACGTTTCATTTTCAGGCGCCGCAAAATGCAACGTGTGCGCGCGCAAACACTCTGTGTTTATCCCCAAGCACCACTGCTCCGTGGTACGTTCTCCCCGCTCGGGTTGTGCGGCGATACTTATGCGTATTTCACTAGTGTGGTGACGTGGTTTGTGGCGCGTGTACTGTCAAGAAATTCCTCCAGCTGCCCAACCGTCAAGAATGGCCCCAAGTGACCGTCTGCGTGAGCTGCGAGCTGAGCCGTCTCACGACGGCCGACGCCGACGTTGCGTCCTCCGACATCTACTCGTTCCAGAGCAACAACTCCCGCCGCGTCGGTGCGCTTGTCTAAGGACCACCCCATCGGTGCCCCCACCGATATTTTGTTTACACGTCGATCGTTCAGACTTGCTATCAATAAATTTGTATTTAACATATCGGGCTACCCTCTTAGGGCTAATACGTGTCGGCGTGTGTCTCCGGACGCGGCCCGGGTCTTGATGCAGTGGACTGTCTAGGCCATGCGATGTAACGACGGCTGTGAAACGCTGTGATCCTCGAGGCGTGTGGACGACAAAGAAGGGACGTGACCTCACAAGCGCAACGACTTCATCCTATTGCGCCGTAATATCTCCTTTCAACAAACAACACTACGCTGGTGTGATTGCTCGATGAATCTAGATAGACGCTCGAGCGTTGCAAGTAGACTGCAAGCGTGGCTCTTCAAGATGCGTCGCACCCATGAAGTGATCCGGTTGTCTGTTATCCTAGCCCCGTTCGTCGCGAGCGAGGACGTGGACACCAGTGGATTGATTTCGAGCAATTCTCTACCAACAGCGACGACCACGCAAGAAGAGACAAAAGCGGCCTGCAACGATGCAGCTCACCAGAGACCAAGGTGCGCGGTGCAGAGCGTGTCATTCGTATTTGTACAAACATGGATGCTATCCATACGTGTACCGACCCAGGTCGCAGTATACTAGATTCCCTTCAACAACATTTTGCCACGCGACACCATAGTGGGGTTGGACCAAGCTCATGACACGCAGGTGGACCGGCCCTCCAAGTACAGTGTATCGGACAATGGTGTGTGCACCCGCCCATCTCATATCGCCCTGTCGTCGATGATGGGAGTCGACGCCGCCAACTGTCGCTTCGCTGGATACCGGTACGAAACCATGCCTCCAACATGGACACCAACGCTCTCAAGGTCGTGGCAGCCGCTCGCGACATCCCGCCCCGTACCTGGTCTACAACCCGACTCTTTGCATCGAGTCAATTCTTGAGCACTGCGGTGTCGTCGTCGGGAGGATACCCTGGTCTGTGGCCAAGATGCGGTGCCGGTAACGCATGGATCAATTTTGGCGTCTGGTGCGCCGCATACGTAACGGCGTTACGATCGTGGCACGACCCGACGGCAGACAGACAGGCACTTGGTCGTCGTAGCTGTCTGCAATAGCAATATTAATAGCAATGGCGTCCATGGCTCGCGGTCGACGACAGGCCAAAGACACGAGACCATGGCGGCGCCTCGCGACCACGAAAAAAGCAGCACAAATTCAAGTGTCGTATGTCCTTGGGAGATACGTGCGGTTGACGTTCGACACGTAGGTGGTCGTGGGACGTTTCCGTAATATGCCCAGTCCACACTGGCACCGAGTTAGGTGATTGAGTTCCTTGACACGGTGCCCGAAGCAGTCTGAGTTCCGCGCACGCTCGCATCAGATGTACGGGCCAATCGTCTTTCGCGACAGGCGCACGCTTTCTATTGCGCGGTCCACTTTGCCTTTTGGCGCAATGCCCGCCGACGTCCTCTCGATCGACGCGCTCTGCCCGCAGACGCAGTGGATTCCGGTGTCGGAGCGCCCGCGCTGTGTGGGCTGCAACACGAGCTTTGCCTTCTTTCGCAAGCCCCACCACTGCCGCCTCGTAATCACATACTAGGCATCGTCTTGTCGACTCACCAACCACCCTAGTGCGGCGAAGTTGTCTGCCGTGCGTGCACCGAGAAGCGCCCCGTGCGCCATCGCACGCTCAACAAGGTCTCGGACGTTTTGATCTGCACGGGGTGCCTTACTTCGCCACGAACGGCCCGCACCAAGGCCGACATCGGTCTCCGCGCCCAAATGTCGCCCATGCCGATGACCGATGCCCGCCCGTCACCACCGTCGTCGTCGCAGTGCCACGTCTGTGCGTGCACATTTACCTTTGCGCGCTGGAAACACAAATGCCGCTGGGTACGATGACGCGCCGCTCGAAGGTTTGTGACCAACGATCGCTCTATGTAGTGCCAACACGACGTGTGCGGACACTGCCGCCCGAGCGCACCCAACAAACGACTCGGCGTCGACGGCAAGGTCTGCTTGCAGTGCCTCCTCGAGCGCACGCACCAGACCATGGCGGCGAGACAGCCGCCAGCGACCAACAGCAAGCGGTCCTCGGACAGTGCGTCGTCGCCACGCACCGACACGGCGAGCTCGTTTGGATCCGTCACGTCCCTGCCGTACCCACTCGACTATTCCTGGTCGCACCCGTGGCCCAAGCCGCCTCTCATTGCCCACGAGGCCCGGCGCCTCGAGACGCTGCGCTGCGCCGACATTCTGGACACGCCGGCCGACGATGTGTTCGAGCTTCTCTGTGATCTCGCGATCAAGGCGACGGGGTGCTCGATGGCCGCCGTCGCCTTTGTCGACGCCGATCGCGTCTGGTTCAAGGCGCGTATGGGGCTCGCGCAGTCGTCATTGCCGCGCGACGTGGCCTTTTGCGCGCATACGATTCGATCGACCGACCCGCTTGTGGTCGTGGACGCAGCGCTCGATCCTCGTTTTGAGAAGAACCCGCTCGTGACGGGCCGCGCCCGCATTCGCTTTTACGCTGGCGCCCCGATCGTGGCACCGACGGGCCTCGTGCTCGGCACCGTCTTTGTGCTCGACTCAAAGCCGCGCGAGACGTTCGACCCGCGCTCGCTCCAAAAGCTCGCCAACATTGCCATGGCGCACATTAAACTTAACAAGAAAGGCTACCTGCTCTCGTAAGCCGCATCACCACCCCTCCCGAGTACCGTCGGTAGTACTCACGCGCCACCTAAAATGGAATCTCTTCCTCTTTTCATCCTCCTCTTGGAGACAAAACCAACGAGGAAAGCAGCGAGCGATATCACGTACAAGCGAGGTGATTATGGTCGATGGATCGGTCGATGCTGTGGGTCCTCGATTTCCTGAGCTCCACAATTGCGTCTCTCGGTGGACTGGCGACGCAAGCATTGGTCGATGCCATCGGCATTGAATACAGTGGGTGTTGCTGTGAGAAAGAGCTATGGATGGCCATGATGGATGGATGGCCTGCTCAAAAAAAGTTCGGTATTACTCCCGCTGTATGTATACCAGCAACTTCGCAAAGCTTTCTTCCGTGTCGACGAGCTGTGTCGAGGAGAAAAGGAGCGGTTCACATCTGCCGCCCATTCACATCACACTATAGACTGCCGGCTGTTTTAAAACGCCCCATAGATCGCGTCGGATCATGTCGGCGGTGAGTGTGCTAATAATGTCCATAATAACTATATGACAATTGTCATTTTGGCCTTGCACGTGGCATCGTGCAAGAACTGGTGCAAGAGCGGGCTCGGCGATGGATTGCATCATCCGATGAGCGTGGCCACATTGAGACCAGATGTTGCTGACTGGCGAGATCGGGGCTCCAGATGTTGGTGAAAACGCCGCCAACAAGGCAGAAAGGCCAGTCGCAGCTGCCTCCCGCGTCGTGGCTTTGTAAAGATGAGCATATCAGGGCAATGCTCCGAGTGGCGTGGGCTGGCACAGCGTTGTTGCCGACCATGGTGGCCGTCGGTCGATACGGTGCATATGTCGCCGACGCGGGCGAGTCATGGGTCCGTCACCGTCAGCATCCACGTAGCACACCTGAAGGTACCTGCCGCGTTGGTCTGCAGTCACGCCTCCAGTCCACTGTCTTTGTGTTTGGTTTTCGAGCTCGTGCTGCTTTTATACCGAACCAGATTATTGCACACGGAGCCCCGTCAGTTGCTCATCCGCGGTATGGCCGACGGCAGGATCGACGTCGTCGCGCCCGGCGACCTCGTACCGCACAACGAATGGGCGCCGACGCGCACGGCGACGCGTTGCGCGACCTGCACACGGTTGTTTTCCATCTTTCGCCGAAAACACCACTGCCACACGGTACGAATCTCATTCTGTTTTGCGTCCAACGTCATGCCGTGACGACAGTGCGGCGAAGTTGTCTGCAAGACTTGCATCATGGAGATGCCCGTGACGGGACAGAGCATCCTTGTCTACGTCTGCATGCGCTGCAGTCTCCGGCGTCGGCAGAGTGCGCCCAGCCCCGAGAGCGCGTACGACACAGCGGCACTCCTCGCCACTGCGTCGTCCAAGGCGCTTTTGCCGCGCGGTAGCATTGACACCATCCACGAAACCACTGACTTTGACTCGAACCGAGACGGGAGCTTGTTTGCGTTCCAGCTAGCGATCGCGACGCCCGGCAACGACCAGTCCGCGACCGACCACAACACGTGGGTGCTGCAGCCGGGCGAGTTGGCGCCATACCTCGTGCCTATCCTCGGGCGCTTTCGCTGCGACCACTGCCGCCACTTGCTTGTATTTCGGCACCGCGTCAACTGCCGCGCTGTACGTTCTTAGCGCCATCTATATTCCATGTTGATGCGAAGACTAGTGCGGGGACGTCGTCTGTCGGCGCTGTGTCATACCAACGATTGTACAAGAGTACGGACAACTCGACCGCACCGAGATCGCTATCTGCGCCACGTGCCATGAGATTCACAAAGCTCTCGGGTCGTACAAGGACTGCCACACACTCAAGCGAGCGCTGGGCCCGAGCGCCTACCCACCCGGCGTGCATGTTGGCACAATCGACGCAGGCACCACGTCTGCCTTTGCTCGCAAAGTGGCGCATTTTAAGGCCCTCGAAGAAGCCAAACTCGTGCCTGAAGACGTCATGATACGGCGTGACGCCGCGTGGTCACCGTCGGCGAGGCAAGCCAAGTGCCCGCGCTGCGATCGGCCCGTGTCTTGGCGCAGTGCGGGCTGCTGCTGCATGGTAGGAGATTCCGCCACGTCACATTGCACTTGATTCTTATTGGGCTGCACGAATAGTGCGGGCGCGCCTTTTGCAACACTTGCGTATGGCACCGCTTTGCGCGGTCGCCCGGGCGGTACGAACTCGACCAAGTGGTTGTGTGCTCGTCGTGTCTCCTCAATTTTGATCGAGAAAATCGCCTCCGTCGCGCATATCTCTTGGCCGACTGCGTGCACATTTACATGGCCGCGTGTGGCGCCGAGGCCGATGGTCTTGAGACGCCCATGGAAACGACCGCCGCCGCCCGCAACTTGGGTGGCGCCGATCATAGTGGCGGAGAACCGACCACAGAGAGCGGCGATATGGACGAGGCGCGGCTCGAGGCGCTCCTCGTCCAGACCGTCGAGCGCAACCTGAAGCTCTCGCACTCGATCCGGTCCACCATGCATGGCTATGTAGAGAGCGCATGATAATTGTTAAACTAGTAGTATCAACCGAATCGATCCGACGGGTTGTGTACCGAGCGGGTTCGGGTAGATTCCACTTCGAGGAAGCGAGCACAGTGGGATAGGTGGCCGTTGAAGGCAACCTGCAAGGGGCTGTGCCACGATATGGGTGTTTTTTGCACGCGCGTCGTTTCTATCGTTGTCGCCAGACTCGTTGGCATTGTTGGCTGCATTTGGGATGCGATCGATCTCTGCGCAAGCGCTCTTGCCGACGGCGAGGTACGCGCCGATCGACGCGGCGGTGCGCTGTGGCGTCTGCGCCCGAGCCTTCTCGGCTTTTCGCACCAAAGTCCACTGCCACACGGTACTAGAACGTCCGCATTTTGATGTCACGATCCTTTCGTTGTAGTGCGGGGCGGTGGTCTGCAATGGGTGCGCGGTCGAAGTGCCCGTGCAGCAGCAGCGGCGAGATGCCATAGTCTGCGTTAGCTGCACGCGCGGCAAGAAGAAACAACCGGTGGCCGCTACTACGTTTGACGGTATTCTCTTTGACCCGGCCGACCTCGCGCCGCGTCAAGCGCCGATGGGGCCGCCGATCAAGGCCGTGGCACCGCCAGCGAAATACGCGGCAACCACACCCGAGCCGGATCTGAGTGCGTTCCAACTCCATGTGCTCCCAAACATCGAAACGACGCTCGAAGTGGATGACGACGACGACGACGAGTTGGCTGTCTTTGGCAGCAGTCGCGGCGTGATTCCTGCAGCCGAACTCGTCCAGCCCGATCAGTTTGTGCCGTCCTTGAGCCGCATGCGCTGCCACCGCTGCCGGCGCCTTCTTTTGCTGCACGCGCGGCACCACTGCAGCGCGGTACACGACCCAATGCGTATTCTCCTTTGACACTATAATTGTCTAGTGCGCCGAGGTGTATTGCCGGAGCTGTGTCAACGCGTATGTGACCGAGTCGCACTACCGCCTCTCGAGCATCGACATTTGTCGGACATGCAGCCTCATCCAAGCCATGTTTGGGTCGTTCAAGGAATGCCGGTGGGTACACAAGTCGCTGCCGTCGACGGCCTTTCCGCCGGGCGTCCAGGTCAAAGTTCGATGCCCGTTGTATGTGAACCGCACGGAATTTGCGCGCAAAATCGCCGAGCTCAAGTTTCTCGAAGAAGTCGACTTGGTGCCGTGGAATCACCTGCCGCAGCGCGGTCTCTGGAGCATCGAGCCGCCGAGCTGCGACGAGTGCGGCCTCCAGCTACGACGCAGCACGCGCGCGCGGTGTGGCATGGTACGTTCCAGGCATGTATGGACGTGTCTCCATCGCCGCTTAGTGCGACCTCGTCTACTGCCTCGGCTGCACGACGCTCAAGTTTACGCGTCCGCCCCACAAGCTCGAGCTCGAAGATATCCACGTTTGCCGGACATGCGTCGCCACGTTCGAGCGCTGGAACCGAACGCGCAGCAAGCAGCTCTGGAAAACGTGCGCGACGGTGTATGCAAAAGCATCGGGGACCCACGTCGACCCGGATTCGGCGCCGCCTCCGACAAGCCCCGCGGGTTGGCTGCGCAGCCGCCCGAGTGCCGAGATGGTCCAAAAGGCGAGTCGATCCAGCGGTAGCAACAAAGACAGCCACCTGAGCCTCGACACGACGCGGCGTCCCAGTGGCGATGCCGACGACCGGCGGCTCAGCTGCGGCGGACGAGACAGCCTCGACAATGGCCGACGCCTCAGTTGTGACGCTCGAAGCAGCATCGGTTACGATGCCCGTGGTAGCATCGGTTGTGACGCCCGAGGCAGCGTCGGTGGCCGGGATAGCCTGCTCGACGGCGGACGGCCAAGCGACGGCGGCCGACCACGCCGCTCCAGCTGCGACGCGAGACACACCGCGCAGGCCCCGGAGGCGGGCCGACCGCGCATGTGCTCTGCGCCCGTGCGCCCGCGCTTTAGCGCGGCCGACATCCCACCACCAACTCCACCGACAATGTCGGCAGACGACGAGGCGCTCTTGCGGTCGATTGAGCGCAATTTGCGCGTGTCGGAAGCCATTGCACGAACGATTGAGTGCGCCGAAGCGGGTGTCGAGCCGGCGCTTCACCACCAAGGACGGCCGCGCCGCCACTCGATCTCGGGCTGACCTCCGCCATGCGAGCGTATTTAATGTATACAATGCATGGCTCTGTATTCTGGTCGAGTAGCCAACTGGAAGAATGACACGCAAAGGAGCTCAAAGGAGATGTCCTCTTGTTGAAAGCAACTCGAGTATATTAATATCTATGTATTTGTATCGGTATGGGCCGAATAAAACTCACCGTCGATTTTTCTATAGAACCAATCAGAATGTGTCGTCTTAATAAGCTGACCAATCAACATGTGCGACCCAACAGATTTCAAAGCCGGGCACCACGCTGCGTGGCACCTTGTGAAGCACGAGTGGCTTTGACGAGTCGATGCTCGTTCACAGCAGAGCAATTGAGACGTGAAGGGCGCACTAGTGTCCAAGGCAGTGTGCCGAGGGTGCAAGGCACCAGCGTGTGGTCAACCATGTGGGAAATAGCTTGTCGAACTTCTCACTTGGTGCGATGCCAGAGACGTTGTTGCGTCTTTTTGTGTCCATGATAGCAGTAGCAGATGTTGGCGACCAGGTCCAAGACATTGCTCCAAGACCAAGCAAGGGCATTGCGCCGCGCTTCAGCATCGAGTCATTCGCTCTCAAGGCCACGGAGGCCGCGACGAAGCCATCAGTGCGGCGGCTGCTGACCACGGACCACCATCACTTGAGTCATGTGGTCGTCGTGGCTGAACCGTCGTCGAGGCACCAGATGTGGGGCGTGTCCAGATGTGGTGACTGCGGCAGCAATCGGCAGCAATCCCCAAATGGTGTGCGTTCGTGACGACCCTTCCCGCGCGTGTGCTTGCCTCTATCCGTGTACTCTACGGCGCGTCGCCTCTGTTGCCGCCACCGTTCCAGAGCCAAGAGCCAAGGGCGATATCACCGCTGGCGCCAAGGCGTGGACGGTATGGCCGTCACTTTTTGGTCTTGGTGTCAAGTCGTGGTGTCAAGTCCACACCACCCATGGTGTGCGCTGACCTCAGACCAATGAGACCAGTCGCTAGACTTCCTCTATTTCCGACTTTACTGTGACGGACCTCGTGAGTTGCCAAGAGCTTCAACGTAACGTTATTTAAAAGCCTGTCGCTGGGGCTACACTAGTCTTGCAGGCGCTATGTAGCACGGAGCTTGCAGAAAAGCGACGCGGCGAATTGCTCGTACCGCTTCGTGCTTGGTGACGCTCTGCTTGTGTCTCTGCATGGATCGTGTGTTGTGGGCACACGCGAGGCTAGATACAGAGCGTCATCGATGAGCGGTTTGGTGACCCATACTAGGTCGGCGCTTGCACAACGTCGTGGCTATTTGTGGCCGGTCCGACGTCGCTGCCTTCTTCTTCGCGACGTTGACTTCAGCTGCCATCATCATTCGTGTTCGAGGACGTCGTGGGCTCATCGGCAGCCGTTGGAACGTTGTCTTCGTCGCGTCGTGCCACGGTGCGCGCTGCCCATCACTGCAAAGTGCATTTCAGCACGGTGCGGTCGCACACTGGCTGTTTGCATCAATCGACCCATCGAATAAGGTTTAATCCATGGGTTTAATCGACATCGTTTGGTCTTTTCTACAACGTTCTTTGTTGAACGTTGTACTTCAAGCCGTGCTTGCTGTTGAAGGCGACATCACGAACGTGCTCCCAAGTGTGCTGCCGTAGCGTCGGCCGCGCTCAAAGCGCTGTCGAGCCAACCAGCACGAGACATTTGGCATGGCGACCGAAAGCCTGCACTCGAGCGTGTCTTGCTGTCGCGCCACGCGCGGGCAGCAACGCCACCAGGTGGTGCGTATAAAACCCATTTAACGCATGTGTGCCGATCACCCAAGTGCAGAGTGGACCCAGGTTGAATCGAATCCAGCGCGTCATTTTCGAACTCGCTGGCCAATGACGACAACGACGCTTGTGAAGAAGGCCCTTAGCGTCCCGCCGTCGCGCTGCGCGTGCTGCAACCGGGACTTTGCCTTTTACCGAAAGCGTCACCACTGCCACGAGGTACTACGAACCTTTGTGGCATCATCATGCTCAAGTGGCCTCCTCTATTCTAGTGCGGTGCCGACGTTTGCAAAGCTTGTACGACGAGTGCGCACAACTGCCCGCTCAAAGTCTGTTTAACGTGCCTTGTCGAGCCCACCGATTCGCAACGTGGACGCGAAGCGTCCAAGCGTAGCCAGCGCAGCACTTCGAGCGCGTCCAGCGTCATTTCTTCGTCGCGCGACTACGGCTACGTTCTCGACTACAACTGGATTTACCCGTGGCCCAAGCCGCCCATGCTCGACAACGACACCGAGCGCATCAAGATCGTGGCCGCCCTCGGCGTCCTCGATGCGCCGCGCACAGATTTCTTCGAGTCGATCTGCCACTTGGCCATCACGACGATGGAGACGGCGATTGCAGTCGTCAGCGTCCTCGACAAGGACCGTGAGTGGATCGTCGACAGCATCGGCTTGACGCCGCGCGAAGTCCCCCGGGACGCATCCTTTTGCGCGCACACAGCCCGGAGCACCGAGCCACTGGTCGTGCTCGACACACACTACGACGACCGGTTCCGGGAAAACCCGCTCGTGACCGGGTCGCTTCGCGTCCGCTTCTACGCCGGGTGGCCCATCGTGGCGCCGTCCGGCTGCATCATTGGCGCCGTCTCTGTCATGTCGGATCGACCGCGTACGTACTGCGACGTGGCCAAGCTCCAGCTGCCTGCGCGGCTCGCCACTGCGCTCTTCTTCAAGCCGCCGGGGCGCGCCCCCGACACCGTCTACCACATTTCGCACGAGTTCGAACTCGATTGAATGTCGTCGTCGTATTGTATCCATATAGTAATAGCAGCTGTAGTCTTTGTAATGTCGTGATGCAGGCAGCGTCAGCGTCGTGCGCGTCGGGTTGTTGACGCTTTTGCGATCCGAGCGTCAGTAGTATGTACACGGAAACGACCACGGCATTGGCAATGGTCCAAGTCCGATGGCGCGCGGCAGAGCTGATGCTGGTATTTCGAGTGTAGAGGCGAGGTTGTGGTCAAGATACTGCTTGCGTTCGATGGCCATGCTATGCCACCGTGCATGTTTATGCGGCGGCGACGACAAAAACACGAGCCGAAGCCGCTTGGATGGTCCGCAGGCGTATGCTACCACCCACCACACTAATCTCATGCCGAATGCGCATGTACTATCAATACCCTGACGCACGCAGTTCGTTCGCACACGTTTGCGCTGGCGGCAGTTACGCATCGACCGCAAGTAGTTGGCAAGGCTACGCGCTGGAACAGTTTAGCGAATTGTTTAGTGGAGATTAGAGTCACTACACCGAGCAGCACCGCCATCACCGCGCATCACCGATAACACCGCGCCACCACACGATTCGATGGAGACCAGGCGTTTCAGCCGTTTCGCTGCAACGAGCTTTGCACACAAGCTCGTGTCCATTCATTCCTTTGCGCGCCCTTTCCAGTGCAGTAACGATGACGTTTCACTAGTAAAAGGATAACAAGTCGTGTCGTGTGTGATCATGCCAGCACCAAACGGGAATTGTGATCCGGCAATCAGTGCATCCTCTGCTGTAGTGTACTAAAATACAGCAAACGTATAGCACGCCACCGACATGGCTAGAGCTTTGAAATTCCACGTCTATCACATCCATTCTTTGAGCAGAGCGCTTTCATCGACATTAGATTGTCGTGATTCGTAAGGCGCTCCGTATCGCAAACGACAACTCGAATGAGCGATAGAACGCAAGCCGCTTTGCCACCGTCGCTTCAAAACCCATGAGCATATTTTCACAGCTCTCGTAGCTTGCTTGACTTTCCGGCCAACCGCGTGATGTGTGGCTCGCAAGCCCCTTCTGCAAACTCACCAACCCGAGCCCCACAGTCTAGAACAAGGAAGTTTAAAACGGAGCAGAACCAGGCAATCGGTGTCTCTTGCGTCAACGTCCCCGCACCCAGCGCTGCCCAATACTTCAGTGTTCGTATGGGCATCGTCTTGTTGCACTGATCTTACAACCAGAGCGGCTACGTACATATACATAAATGTATCAACGCAAACCAACGCCACGACATATACTAGTTTCCTTCGACCGACTTCAACAGCAACCTACTACTGTAGTTTCCCAGAATGAATCGACCAGCCTTGAACCTTATCATCGGACAAAATCTTGGATCGCACGGGCGTCGCTGGGATGCACACCGCCGCTTCGGGTACCATACTTTCATGCAATCACGGTGCGGGTTTTGAACACAATCGTTCGACAGATTGCTGGTACTATTGATCCCGCTCGAGTAATATAAAGTCGCGCTTAAAGTGGCCGTCATTTCTCGATACCTGGCGAGACACACGTCCGAACTAACGTCATGGGGCTTTTGTGGCTGACCAAGCCACTCCAGCTTCGCCATCCAAACGTCACAATGTGAGGCGTGGGAAATTGAGAAGCTCACATTCACAACGACCAAGCTTAAAGCGCTTCCGTTCATCCGTCTCATCCAAAGTCTACAATCTCGAATCTCGAGCAAGTCAGTGTCCATTCAAAGATCCAGGTTAAAGCGATGCACTTGCACATCAGCGCTTTTGCCCTTGCAAAGCATGTCCTACTGTAGGACAGGCTGGGAAGGGTCGCGAGCACCCACGACCAGATCGATACCCGACGTCGTGATGCGAGGGTGGACGGTCACGATCGTTGACGCAGCGGACCTTTCTTTGCACATGTTGCGGTGTGCGGTGCTCCTTGGTTACGTACTCATGTTCAAAAGATCTGAATCCAATGACGCAAACACAAATGCATCGCGATTCTAAATCGTCGACCCAGATCCCTCGACGACGATGACGAAATATGCTGGATGAACGCAGAGCCACCGGAACACGCGCGTTATTGTTGAAGCCGAACTTCAACGTCGTCGTGTGATGACGGAGGGTCACCGCAAGCTGTCACCGCAGTCCCTTGCGTTGGACGTCCCACGCTGGACCAGGTCCGGATGCGACTTTGGTCAGGCGAGCGCTCGCTTACCGTAGCAGTGCAGGCGCAGGCCGCCGACTCGATTACGCGCCGAGAAACATAGTGCGCAGAGTACCAAGTCTGGTGCGAAACTGCATCTTCACAGTCGGACAGCATCACGGTGATGTTATACACCACATGTTTTCAGTGATGGCACCCACGCAGTGGGCGAGCACTACACGTCGTGCGCGTTGTGGGGTCGCGGCCGTCGTTTTTGTGTCGTCTTATTCGCACCGACGGACGCCCTCGCTGTCTCGGCGGTTCATAGCCAGTGGGAACTGAGCCTCATATCCACGGTACCAGGTGTAGTAGCTTTGGTGAAGACGCGTCTGTCCACTGCTTGCACTGCACGCGATAGATATACCAGTGGCTCCATGGCGACGTCATGATATGCCCAAACGGGTGCGTGCACTTCGAGAAAACCAGTTGCGCGCGAAGAAGGCCAAGCTTCTTCGCCAGTGAAATTTCGTGCTGAACCGTGTTGACGGAGCGACGGCGAGTCAACAGCGAAGCGGCCGCCCGCAGCTGCGCCATGGAACCAGCATGCTCATTTTATCTGCACCGCACGTGTGGTTGCCACAGTGTCCCTTGGATGTCTCGTCGCGACGGTGCAAGCACGCTCTCTGACAACATGCACCACGAGCGACCAGCCACAACGGAGGTGCGTGTTTGCACCGGCTCGGATGCGGTGAAGCGAGTGTGGTATGTTGCGATCAGACGCGGCGCCTGTAGACATGCCATTACGAACACCGACACGGCCGCGACCGCTGACGCAACAACACATATTTCAATTCACCGCAGCATGCTCATGGAACGAACCAAGCGGCTCATCTCGATCGAGGAGCTCGAAGACAGCGAGAGCTCCGGCATCTTTGCGGCCCCGAACGGTTCTCGGTCGCAGACGTCGATCCTCGTCAAGAGCAGTTGGCCGTACCCGTGGAAGCAACCGCCCGCCATCGCCGACGAACGCGACCGCCTTGCTGCACTGCGCCAGTTTGACGTGCTCGACACGCCGCCCGAGCGCGTCTTTGAGGTCATTTGCGAGCTCGCAACGAGCGTGCTCCAGTGCCCAATCGCAGGCGTGACCTTTCTCGATACCGACCGCCAGTGGTTCAAGGCTCGCCGCGGCTGGATCGAAGCTGAGATCCATCGCGACATTGCCTTTTGCGCCCACACTGTGGCGTGCGCCGAGCCCATGGTTGTGCTGGACGCGAGCCGCGACACCAAGTTCGCGCTCAACCCGCTCGTGCTCGGACCCACCGGCGTCCGTTTCTACGCCGGTGCGCCAATCACGACGGCGGCCGGACACGCAATTGGGACGGTGTGCGTCTATGACACGCGTCCGCACGACTCTGTCGACATGGCGACCCTCGAAAAGCTCGCGAGCGTTGCACTCCTCCACCTCGAAGACCGCTTGCGGGCGCCGGTGGCGACCGAAGTTCAAGACGACACGTTGAGCGCATTTGAAGGACCCGTGCTCTCGATGCATGAGCTCTTGCGCATGCGCGACTGCGTCCCGAAAGCTCAGTGCAGTCGCTGCACTCGCTGCCACCGCGCGTTTACCCTCTTCCGCCACAAAAAGCATTGCCGTGCGGTACGCATATCGTCTGTAGCAAACCACTCACTTTGACTAGTGCGGTGAAGTCTTTTGCAGCTTTTGCGCGCTGCCGACGCGCGCCCAGCAGCGCCGGGGGCCGCGCGTCTTCAAGATCCACGTGTGTCTTACGTGCATCAACATTGGCACGGTCCTGGGTCATTTCCGACTCTGCCGCAGCGTGCGCAACTCGCTCCATGGAAGCAACGACGGCGCGGACGAGGCTTTGACACCGAAAGAACTCGAGCAAATCCAGCGTCTCGAAGACAAAGACACGCTGTCGCCGACCCGGCTCATGCCGACGAGCGAGTGCATTCCGTTTGACGAGCGCGGGTGCTGCCACGTGTGTAGCCGCCACTTTAACCTGTTTCGACCCAAACACTCGTGCCGTGTGGTAGGATCTCGTATGGAGGTTGAGCGTGATCTTGAGCGTACTTTGTCTAGTGTGGGGACGTGGTCTGCAGTCACTGCTCCAAGAAAAAGCTCGCGATCGTCGATGGCACCAACGAAACTGAGATGGAGCCCGTGACTGTGTGCGTCGAGTGCAACGTGACGTTGACCAACACGGCGCTTCGTGACGACACGATGCCGCTGGCGTTGGCATCGGACTTTGAGGCGTTCAACAACAGTCGCCGTGAACGCAACTCGATGAAGAACGCGCTGGACACGGTGAAGACCCTTCTCGTCTCAGCCGACGAGCGCACACTGTCGGCGGGCCGGTCGTCGCTCGCAGACAAGCCGACCGAGTTGACTCCTGCTGGGGCGTAGTCAACTAGTTCATTGCATGCGACTAACTTATGCGGAATGTAACCGACTTTGATGTGATTGGCTACCTCGGCCGTTTCGCGGTCCGCCACATGGCACTCACAATGGCGATTTGGTCACACGACTCGATTCGACCTATCTGACTCGATCATTGCAGATGTTAAAGTATAGCGCAAGATGCCGCATTGCACCAGCTCGAGTCCTTTGTACTAGGTACTTCGTACTGGTATTATTATTGTGTGCGTGCGGCAAACTCGGACGGGCAAGGCAGTCGCACCCAGCAACCCGGTCCTTCCCAACCAGATGGTGCCACCCAAGTGGTGTGGACCAATCGGCTGACGCGCCACGGTTCCCATCGGCGTCGGCCACACACGTCGCGCAGTTCCGATTCCGCGTCATGCCGCCACCGATCGCCGCCGACGACGTGCTCACAGCCGAGCAGTGGGTGCCGTTCTCGGAGCGCGCGTCCTGTGCGTCGTGCGCCCATGGCTTTACGGTCTTTCGCCAAAAGCACAACTGTCAAAGGGTACAACCTTCTTGGATATGCCAGTGGCATTGCGACGTACTATGGCTTAGTGCGGCGAAGTCGTGTGCGGGCACTGCCTTGTGCCGCGCCGCGCCGAAGCCCTCGACACGTCGTTCGAGGTGCGTATCTGCATTGACTGCATTTCGGTTTGCGAAAAGCACGTGCACCAAAGCGCGTCGTGCTTTGTGTGCACCCGTCGCTTCTCCCTCCTTCGGCGCAAGTACCGCTGCGACGAGGTCGTCGACGTCTTTGCGCTCTCTCTCACACGCACACTAGTGCGGCGAAGGCGTCTGCAAGAAATGCCACGTGACCAAGCGCGACCATAGCACCTCGCGCGCCGTGCGTCAAGCCCGCGTCTGCACCAATTGCATGCTGCGCGAGACACCACCCAAAGTACAATCGTCGTCGAACGTCGTGTCCCTTCTCGATTTGTCGGCGCCACACACCTCGGGCGATGTGCCGCTGCCGCCAGACGAAGAGGCGCGGCTTCACGTCCTTGCGAGCTACGGACTACTCGATACGCCCCACGAGGCTGCGCTTGACGTTGACTGCAAGCTCGCGCGGAAGCTCATGCGGTGCCCCATGGCTGGGCTGAGCCTCATGAGCCGCGACCGCCAGTGGTACAAAGCGCGCTGCGGCTTTGACGAGACGGAGTTGCCGCGAGCTGTCGCGTTTGGCGCCTACGTTGTCGCGACCAAAGCCCCTCTCGTCGTGCTAGATACGCTCGACGACGACCGGTTCCGAGAGAATCCGATCGTGACGGGTCCGGCCAAGGTGCGCTTCTACGCCGGGGCGCCGATTCTGGCGCCGAGTGGCCATGCCATTGGGACGGTGTTTGTCTTGGACACGGAGCCCCGCGCCTCGTGCAACGTTGAGCCTCTTCAGCAGCTCGCTGCTGTCGCGATGGCCAACATCGAGCGTCACAAGCCAACCGACCGGTAGGACGACCCAACGAGCTTTGAACATGCGTTTGCACGCTGCGGTTTTTCGAAAAGATGTATCTGTTGTCTGCTCTGCTGGCGAGCAGCTGAAGGCGCAGATGCTGTTTCCCGCAGCTATTTCTGCCATGTACCTCCGCGATAGCTCCAGCTAGAGTTCCCGCTGCAGGCGCCTACGTGTGGCATGTAGCTGCAATGGCTGGGTGATCACTGCCCACGGTGGTCAAGTGACCGCGTTGGCCTTTCTCGAAAGCGTATCTTTGGAACTGGTGACCGGATCCGGATAGAGAGGGTTTGCGGTCAGGGGCCGCAGTCGCCAACACTCGCCAAACGCAAGAGGACGCCAATGGCTTATTGTACACGGTGGTCCGGGCGGCGACGATGAATGTGTCGGGCAACGCGACGCCGACAACCTCGTGACGGTGCAGCTCGCTACAAGAAGAAGGTGCCGTCGTTGGGAGCGGTCTTGTCGCGCTTCTCGAGCTCCTTGTAGTGCTGCGTGCACATGCCATCGACTTTGCCAAGCCGCTTGCAGCGCGGGACTTGGCACTCGAACGGCTTGCGATGGACGTTGCAGAGGCCGCCGCCACGGTCCTTCCGGGGGCACTCGGGACTTGCGCACAGGACAAAGCCGCCGTGCTCACCGCAGCGCTGGCCGCGCTGCGCGCGCTTATGGCAGCCCGGCTCGCCGCACGGTGTGCCACCGCCATGCGCCTTGCACTTGCCGTGGCCTTGTGCGCTCTTGGTGCAGCCGTCGACAGTGCAGCGCGGACCACCGCCGTGCTTCTTGCACCACCCGAGCGACTGCGCCGCGACGTTGCAGCCGTCGACACCGCACGTCTTGCCGCCGCCGTGACTGATGCAACGAGTCGTGCTGCCAGACGGGGCGCGCTTGCACGCAGGGTAGTCGCACGTCTCGCGCTTCTTGGGCAGCGTCGCGATATTGGTCTCATCTCCCAGAAAGGCTTGGTAAGAGAACGACGATGCATCCGTTGGCGGTTCCATCTTGACACGATCGTCGTCGAGCGCATGATGGGTGATGGCACGTAGCGTACCGGACGTACCATCGTAGACGAACGCTTCGTGCACCACACCGATGGACGACATGGCGTTGCCAAGCTCGACAAAGTCGTTGTAGTCGACCACAATCTCCTCCATGCGATCGTCGGGCTTGGGGCTCAGCATATTCGCAAGCGCGACGTCTTCGTCGTAGGTCGAGATGATGGGGCCCACAGACAGGCGTGGCGGCGCGGAGGACATCGACTGCTACTTGCTCGGGCCGACGACGGAAATGACCAACTAAGCTCTGACAACATCTTTATCCGGATACGCATCTCGGTGGTGTGTTTAAAACAGTCCATGTCAAATCCAACAGGTGTATCAAACACGTGTTGCAATCAAGACGCCATTGCGAGCTTCCGAGAGTGGGACTGCCGACTCGCGACGTGGCAGTGCACCACTTCGGGTGGAGCTTTCCGATGCGTGGGTTTGCAGACGCCCACGTACTCTCTACCATACGAGCCAAATGGTCGGCCTCAGTAGAACAGTCGAGAGATACCTTTCTGCAGCGGTCATGGGAGTAGAGCGCTGGAGCTGAGCGCTGGGTGTTGTCGTGGGGCCGAGCGTCGTCCTCACCTTTTACTGTACAATTCGAGCGTATCATTGAGTCTCCCCGGGACCTTGCGCCAAACATGTATGTGGGTTGGGTCTACACGCTCCAAGATCACCGACGGACTTGCCGCGTCAAGCTTTGGACTTTGCGTCGTCGTCATGAAGTGGTCTGTGAAAGTGCATCTCTCAATTCAGGTCCAACGTGACCAGAAGCAGCCGCGCAATCGCACACTAGAATCAGATGCGCGGCTGACGCGCTGTGATGTGAGCTCGACCCAGCCCCTGCCATCGCCACAAGCTGCAGATGCAACAAACTGGCCACAGCCGTGTTCTCAGCTCGTGACCCACTCTTTACAGCCCAGACTCGAGTACACTGCAGGATGCGAGTCTTCTCGACCCAGCGAGATGTCCACCATCGTGCTCAAACTCTCGGACTTGCGCCGCATGCATTCGTGCTGCGTCACGGTAGGTAGCTCACTCGTTGTCGTGGGCTATCGACAGGTCAAACCAAGTAGGTCGCTGCTAGTGCAGACAATCAAAGGCCAATCCTCCCGGACTGGGATTTGCAGGCGCCTGGATACTTGAAGAGCGCACGCCACGTCGCTGCTCACTCTTTCTTCTTCCGCCGGCCATGGCACGCAAGGTGCGGATCTCAGAGCAGAGTCTTATCTCGCCGACGTCGTTCGTCGCGAGCCAGAGTCACTGCAACCTCTGCACCAAGAAGCTACACTTCTTTTACTACAAGCACCACTGCCGCGTGGTATTCTGGACCTGTGGACCGTGCTTGTCTCACATTGCCCTTAGTGCGGCAAGATCGTGTGCGGCAAATGCAAGGAGCTCGCGCTCGTGGAGCTCCCTGGCGACAAGATCGCCGACGTCAAGGTCTGCGCGTCCTGCATCGTTCAAGTCGGCACGCCGGCCACGTCCATCGCGACCGAGTCCGTGTCCTCCGGAGGGTCGGGCGGGTCGGCGCCGCGCCTTTCGTCCAGTCGATACGTGAGCGCCAGTGTACGCGTCCCTCGGCTGAGCGACCTCCCCGAGCTGCATGGCACCGACTGCTGCTTTGTGTGCAACCGCGTCTTTAGCACCCACCACCCCAAGCACCAATGCCGCAAGGTACCTACAAATTCGATGACAACGAGGACGCTAATACCGCGTTGCAGTGCCGCAAGGGCGTCTGCTACAGCTGCCGCATGAACGCCAACGACCCTCTCTTCATCGAGCTCGGGCTACCCTTTCTCATGGCGTGCTGGACGTGCGTGGCCGCGAGCGACGCGATCCAGCTCCAGAGCACCGATCACTTTTCGAGCCCGTACGCTACTACCTCGACGGTTCCTATGTGGGGCGGTGGAATGATCGTATATATGGTACCATTAGGCTCGCGCCGGCCGAGGCGACGCGGCTCGAGGCACTCTACGACTTGCACATCCTCGACTCTGGTCCGGACGCGGCGTTTGACATCCTCTGCGACCTCGCCGCCCAAGAGTTCAACTGCCCGATCGCGGTCGTGTCGTTCATGGACTTCAATCGCCAGTGGTTCAAGGCGCAGATGGGGCTCACCGACTCGGAGGTCCCAAGAGCGTTCTCGCTCTGTGAGAAGGCGCTCAAGGCCACGGAGGCCATCGCCGAGTGGGATATTCGCCTCGACGCGGAGCTCGCATTGCACCCGCTCGTGCAAGGAGGCCCTCGCATCCGGTTCTACGCCGGTGCGCCGCTCGTGGCGCCGTCTGGCCAAGCGGTTGGCACCATCTTTGTGCTCGACAGGGTGGTCCATGAGCCACAGAGTCTAGGGCGGCTCGAGGAGCTTGCCGCGATCGCGATGAAGCTCGCGCTGGCTGGCAAGACCAGCGGCTTCTAGCACCCGCGACTCTGTCGAGTATGGAATGACGTGTTTTATGTTCAATACGGTCGACGATGGGTTAGGTTAAACACGTACTAAGATAACGAAAACTAGGGTATTTTCGAGCCAAGTTGCTACCCATACCGGTGGATGCGGGTGCTGATCGTGACGCGGCAGATGGGGCACTGCGTGAGCCGACTTGCGCACTGCCCGCACGTCTCGTGGCCGCACTGAAACACCATGTCCTTCTTTTTGTCTTCGCAAATCGGGCAGAGCGTTGCTTCGTGCAGCGCCCGCATGCTCTCGACAAGGCGCGCGTCCGCCAGCGACGGCGTCGGCACGGCGCCTTGGAGTGGCGATGTACACACTTCACAAGCACTTGCGCTTGTCGCGTTCAAGTACGTGCACACGGGACAGGCCACTTGGTTGCCCCGCAGCACCGGGGCCGACGACGGGGCTGTCGGAACGTTGGCGGGAATCGTCTTGGCCGACGCCACGGGGTAGGCAGGATACGCGCTCGGTGCACTCGTTGGTGCAGCTCCCTGGTAGCCCATGGGCGGTCCCGGGTAGCTCGTCGAGGGTCCGGGGTAGTTCATCGGTGGTCCGGGGTAGCTCATCGGTGGTCCGGGGTTGCTCATCGGTGGTCCGGGGTAGCTCATGGGGGCCCCGGGGTACGCCATACCGTTTGCATTGAGAGTCGGAAGAAACGGCGCCGGCAGGACAGGCACCGGCGGCACTTGGTGCCGAAGCCCGTTTGGCGACATCAAGTTGAGCTTCCGCACGAGCTGGTACTGCTCCGGGATCTCCATGAGGGCGTGGAGCGCAAACTGCGTCTCGCGGCGCGTCGTGTCGGTAATGTGACGCGTGACCGCATCAAAATCGACAAACTGAAAGTTGTCAAAGCGGCGGCTCGGCACGTTGTCGTCAAAGATGTGCATCATGTCCCACGGGCCGTCACCGACACCGACAACCACGATGCTCAGCGGAAAGTTGGACGCGTAGCTGATCGCGTTGAGCGTGTCTTGCTCGTGCTTGGAGAACTGGCCGTTCGGCACGTCGACCGACCGCGTCACTTGGCCGTCGGCAATGAGCACGAGAATGTGGTACGCCATGTTGTTTTGCTGGACAATGCGAAGCGCTTGGTAAATCATGGGCGCAAAGGTCGTCGGACCGGCCATCGAGACGTGCGGGACGACGTCACGGTACCGCGCACGCACGTCACCAAGGCGGTAGCCTGGCATCGCGTTCGGCCCCAGCGGCATGAACGAAAAGACGGCCGAGTCGCTCGTCGACTCGTCGCCAAAGCCATACACTGGAATCGTGTTGTCGTCGTCTAGCAAGTCGGTGCGCTTGCATGAGATCCATGACCATAAGTAAGCGGATGCGCGTACCGTATTCGCAGAGCGTCTTGCTGACAATGTCCATCACCTGCTCGTACGGGTTGCGCTCGGGCAGCTGGATATCGTGGAGGCAACGACCGCGAAACGTGCGCTTCCCGGTCCACTCGTTCGACTTGGTGACTAGAGACACAGCAGCAATCATGAGCGAAGGTCCGATACAGCGGCCAAGCACGCACAGTCGATGCCAAGGATGAGGTTGCTGCTCTCGAGGCCCTTCCGGCGCAGGTCTAAATGAGCCATTAGCCCTCGATGGCCGCGGTATGGCTACGGTAGCTTACCTCGCTTGAGGTCGTTGAGGTTCATGTAGTTGTCCTGGATGCTCTTGGCGCGCTGGATCGTACGTGGCGCCTGGCCCGTCGGGGTTGACGACGAGCTGCCCATGCTGCTCGCGGTTGTGTCAATTGAAAACTACCTAAACTACCTTGGCAACCGGAACGTTCTCGTATCGAGTTCAACTGTTCTAGTAACAAAAATGAAATTTCGCCAGCCAATCACCATCGCGTATGGGACCAGGATGCTCTGGCATGTCACGGCCTGTCCACGCTCCTGAAAATGGTTTTGCCACAGCCTCAGCCACGGCCTCCACAAGCGGGCGCCTCCAAGTTGATCGCAATCTAGTGCTTTGAGGGCTAGCGCTAGAGACAATGACGCGGTGCTTGAAGCGTGCAGCGAAGGTCGATACCCGCCAACGACCAACGCTCTTCTTGCTCAATGCACGTTGACACGATGAATCATTGAACCTCAAATCTGCGACAATGATTCCATTCAGGATATTTGAATGTTGTGGACACGGATGAAAAGAGAATTTACATCATTAGAGATCGATTTTTGCTCTCCACTGTCCTACACGTTTGTCCTACGCTTGTGGATTCATGAAGTGTACTCCAACCCTGACACGCCCGAAGCCCCTTGGAGTGCTAAAAGAGCTGTGGATGTCTGCCATCCAGCAATTTGGGAAATCAGTGCACGTATTCTATAATAGTAGATATTTATAGGTATATTTAGTTGAGACTTGCAGAATTCAAAGGATGCATGGTCAACTAGGCTGACGACGGTCGTGGTGCCGCGTTGAAGAGCGCCGTATAGACCAAATTCATATACTCTGGCGACGTTGCAGTCTCTGGTCGATGCACAAAGAGGATGCGAGCTCGAATGTTGAGGTCTTCAAGCGCCATGCTTGCGTGCTGCACCTCGGCCAACACCGTCGCGTCGGCATCATAGACGAGTGTGAGGGTGCGCTCCTAGCTCCGCGTCATTCGATGTTCTCTCTAACAACCGCAACGCACCTCGGCAGTGGGCGGCACAAGGTCGCTGAGAATCTCGGGTGTTGGTAGCGCCGCGCTTATCGACGGCATGAGCACGGCTCGAAAGTAGCCCGGCGTCGCGGCCAGCTGCGTCGAGTCGCGCGAACTCAGGTACACGACAAAGCTGCCGTGCACGGGGAGGCCGACGTACGCCACGTACTGTAGTGACGCGGCGTTTCCATGGCGCCAGTCGCCGCTAATCGCCAAATCGGGCAGCATCACATCATCGTCCGCAGTCGTGTGGACGTAAATGTGTGTGCCGCGCTGGACCTTCTCAGCGAGGTAGTGCAGCTGCACCTTCTTGCGCTGGTAGCGCTCGCGGCGCCACTTGCGATAGAGCTCGCGCGGCACCAAGTAGAGCAGAGCCAGAGGGATGCCAACGACAAGGCCAGCCGCCGCGATGGCGCCACCGGCAAAGACGCCCGCCGTGACGAGCGTCAAGGCAATCGACTGCGTGACAACGCGGATCGGGAGGCAGGGACCCCAGCGCGGCGAGGCCAGGATGGTGGCCAGGTGGCAGTAGCGTTGCGCCCTATGATGTGCAAGAAATCAGACAAGTTGTCCATACTATTACACGCATCGTACATCCAGTTGTTGTGCGTGCGCCACGTAATGTTGCATGTCCAGCACCACTCGTGGCGGCATTTCTGACAGGTCATGTGCTGGCAACTAATGTAATCTGTCTTCAGGCGACAGGACAACCGAAGACGCGTACCCGTCGTTCTTCCAGATGCGGTACCCGCAGCTCGGGCACGGCGCGACAGCTTTCGTGCTCGACAATGCATTCATCGACTTTTCCCAGTTCATGTACATGCTGTCGAGCGCCTAGAGCCGCGTCACTACTCCATCATGCAAGGTCCAATAGGACGTACTTGGCTGCAGGTCCGGAACGGATGCGACGCGTTGCCACACTTGAAGCAGCCTCTCGCTCTGCACTTGTGGCACACAAACGTCTTCTCACGCGGGTCGCACTCGATCGCAATGTTGCACTTTGGGTTGGGGCAGTGCCGGCCGTGTGGCAGCTTCTCAAACTACCGACGTGTGAGACCCAGCATACGCCAAAGAGATACCTCGATCGACGCCGTAAAGTGCAAGTACTTGAGAAACACCGCTTCGGTCGTCGTGCGAAGAATGTCCATGGCGTCCAACGCCCGGCGGCAATCGAGGACGGGGCACGTGAGCTGCGTTCCTTGCACCTCGCGCGTGTCGATCTTGGCGGCGACGTAGGCTTGGATGCACCCTACGAACGTTGTCAAAGCTCTGTGTACGCCAATCGACCGCACCTTTGCAGTAGGCGTGCCCGCAGCTCAAGGCCAATTGCGCTACTTCAGGCACTTCAATTGGCTCGGTCGCGACCGCGGATGGCACCGCTTCCAGGCAAATGCAACAGCACTCGGCGCGGGTAGGATTCCGCTCGACCGAGGGCTCTGTCGTCGCGACGACAGTGTCATCGTCGTCGTCGTGCGACGATGGCAGATCCTTGAAGGCTGCAAGGATGAGCATGAGCTCGCCATGAAGCATCGCGCGGTCGGTGGCGGTCAAGGTCATAATTCAACAATGGCTCGCAAGGGCAATGTCGATCGCCTCAGTATTCGATATTCGCAGTGCTGGCAGCCGCCAATCAGCACGCGTGTTCGACAAATCAAGCCAATCGGAGCGCGTCAACGGGACGACCCAATCCAGTTGTCCCACGCATGTTGACCCGCAATATCGCAGGATTTTTTTCCATCGACCTTCGACGTGCACCGAGACTAGGTGCAGAGCCACGCCGTGGTGGGATACTACTCGATCCTGCTATCTGCTCGACCGGATCAGGTGCAAGGTGCAAGGCAAGAGAACGGGCAAGTGCTCAGGAGCCGACGGTTTTGGCATGTTGCCACCAACTGCGTGCATGCAACTCGAAACGCTCAAGCAGTCGGTTCCGATCACCCGGAAAAAGTAGTTTAGTCCAACGCACTCCGACGCATCGTGGATACGTACAGTCGTACGAGCAAATGGTGGCTGCTCCACGTGTATCGGAAGCCGTGTGGTGCCCGCATGATGCTCCTGCGATCGTCGACAGAAGCGCACCGCCATGGTTGCCATTTTCAAAATGGCCATTTCAATGAAAGGATTTCGCAGAGTATTGGACGCAGCTGGCGCCGGCTCTTCCCAGCAACGTCCATGATGAGCAGCACTGAAATGTTGAAGTGGGGACACAACCGTGCACTTGGCTTGTGCACTTCGTACCTCTCGTACCGTCAACCACGGTGCCTTGAAACTTCGGCGCACCTTCCGCATCGGCACGTGGCGGCGTCTCTCGGTCGCTGTCCTCTTCGGCGGCCGGTTGCAGTTGCTTCGTACGAGGGAAAACCAGCTGCAAACGTACATGGCCTCTACAAGGACACTGTACGATTCCATGTGGTCGCCGACGCTTGGGCTCAAGTTGAGCCCAAGCGCGGAGTTGAGCCTCAACTCCTCGCCTTGCTGGGTCGTCGTCGACCGAGACGACGAGCGTCGCCTTTCTCTGCAGGGTCACCTAGCGCGGCTTTGGCACGGGTGCCACCATATCCAATCGCAGCACAAGCCGCCCATTACACAAGGTCCGCTAGCCAGACCGTGACACGCGCGTAAAGAAACAGGCCGTACTACATAGTGCAACCTGATCCGCCCACTTGCAAACCCACCGTGAAGATGACGCCGATCGCCATGCGCCGGCGTACGAGCCCCAACAACGCCGCCATGACGCCGCTCAAAGAGTCGCTGCCCTCCAAGTACGACTCGTTCTTCACAAAGTCGACGTCGTCCGTCTCGGACACGGCGCCCGCGTCGCCGGCGTTGTACCCGCCGCTCAAGCCGCGCGGCATGTCGTTGCCGCAGGTGACACTCACGACGCATGGCCCCAAGCCACGGACACTCACGGTCGACCTCGAGCGGCCACCGCTGCCCCTGCCCAACGTGGCCGTGGACTTTAATTTTCAGAGCATTTTCCAGCGCATCCACGAGTGCGTGCACAAAATTCAAGATATCAAGAAGGACCTCGAGCACGAGACGACGCGCCATCGATAGAGTGTCGACGACGAGACCTCTTCTCTCTTTGGCAGCGACTCCATACAACACGTCATATTTATCATCACGCCGTCTTGAGTCACGCGGCGCTTCGTCGTCTTATATGCAGCTCGTGTGGTACGGGAACCCCGTCGCGTAGTCGCGAAAGGTCGGGGGCACAAAGGCGCTGTCCGACGCGTTCTTGGCCCTACACACGTCTCAGAGGCTGAGATAGAAGGTTGGAGCGTACAAGATCTTCTTGCAGGCCATGCACGGTGTGTTGTACAGCTTCTCATAGTTGGCGAGCCAGCTCTAAGGTTGGGATAAGGCAACATATTGACACGGGCGTGCCACATACAAAAAAGTGGTAAAAGCTCGACTCGGGGTAGTGCACGCGGAAGTAGTGCAGCGCCTAATGAGCATATTATTAGCTGTCGATGAAGACAATAAACGACGCACAGACCTTGCGGGCATGCAGCGTGATCTGCTCAAAGACACAATGCTTGGAACTCGACCAAGCGCCGAGCGGCGCGTCTTCGTTGGGCGGGAGGATGCTCACGCGATCAATGTACTTGGTCACTTGGAGCCCCGCGGCTTTGGCGAGCTCCTGCTCCTTCCCCGTCTCTCTGGCGTCAATGATAAGCTTGCGTAGCTCTTCTTGCTCTACATCTACTATGAGACGACGAGACCGAAGCGAGAAGCGCTCACCGATCTTGGTTGCCTCCTCGGCCGCCATCTTGGCCTTGGTCATCATGTCGTCGCGCCGAGGCTTCTTGGCAACGATCTTCTTGGCCTTGAGCTTGGCCGCGCGCGTCGCTCGGCTGCGGTGGTACGCGGGCGAGTTGGGTGTCGACGGCGTCATCGGGCTCGCGGCGACGCCCGACTCGCCGTTCGGTCCGCCCTCGGGAATCGCCGGGCAAAAGCTCATGTAGACCATCATTTCTTTGTTGACTTCGCACGAAATCGACTTGATGACACGCCGACCACCCCGGGTCGTCTCGGTGTGCTTCCAGAACTTGATGCTCTTGTTGCGACGCATGATGTAGTCCATCATCTCGTTCAGGTCCACGGGCTGCACGTCGCCTTGCTCGTCAAAGACCAGCATGCGCGCGCGCTTTGTCGGCTTGGGCACGAAGCGCTCGTTAACCTGCAACAAGGTACATATCGTGGATTGTGACGAGGAAGCGTACCGTCATGACCGCCTTGACCTTCTCGGGTTGGCCACTGCCCGGGTGCAAGGACGCGCCTGGCGCGGCGACGTACTCCATGCGCGGGAACCACTCGGTCATTTGCGCGAGCCACACGTTGGCGCCTTTCCCCGCCATCTCGTGGATCTGCCATGCTATGTAAGAAGAGAACGTCGCCAGCGCCATGTAGCAGTACCTGCGTCTTCCAGTAGTACTCGAGCATAAGGTTGCGCTGCGTCTGCGAGACGGCGTCAATGTTCTTTGTCTTGTCCTCAAACTCGGGGCTGAACTTGCGCAGGACGTTGAGGTTGGTCTGGACGCGGTCGAGACGGTTCTTGAGCGTCGTCGTCCCGACCGCCAAGGATGCCGGGTCCTCGTCCTTGGCGCCAGAGCTGCCGCCATGAAGCGAGCTCAGCTCTACCATGAGCGCTTCCGTCGCAGCGCGGAGTGCGCCCACGCGGCCGCCGAGGATGTCTGCTAGGCCGATCGGGTCGCTCATGGCCGCTGCCTTGCCTGGTGCAAAGAAATTAATGCAATTACAAAATTTAAGCCAATCCAACACCGTCAAACGAGGATATTTTAACCAATTACACGGATCGAAGATGCGAACTTTTGGCCAATCCTAGGCTACCTCGTGAGATTTTGGTCATCGCATCAAATGGCACAACACCAAATTTCATTTTACATGAAGCTGCGGCCTACTCATGCGCCTGCACCTACGCTGCAGACAGCACACCGGCGTTTAGTGGTCCTAGAGCTTGCTGTTGCCCGTGGACGCGGCACCGATCTGGCCGCCATCGACAGTGAGCACGGTCCCCGTCACCCACGCACCCGCCGGCGACGCTAACGTGTCATTGCATCGCGCGGCAAGTAATAGTATGTGCGTCGTACCATAATAGATGGCGGCGCCCGCCATATCGAGGTCGCTGCCCGCACGCTTGAGCGGCACGCCTTGCGCGAGCTCGTCCATGCTACAACGCAAGCTCAGGAATCGCTGCGCCCAACGCTCATAGTACCCAAGGCCCGTGGCCGTCGAGATTTGCTTGGACATCTTGGTGGGCACGAACCCCGGCGCAATTGCATTCACAGTGATCCCGCGCGGGGCGAGTTCGAGCGCCAAGACGCGTGTGAGGTGGTGGATCGCGGCCTTGCTCGTGTCGTACGCAAACGTGCCAATGTCGGGCTGCGGCAGCACGCCAGCGATCGAGCCAATGTTGATGATGCGGCTGTTGGCCTCCATCATTGGCAACAACTTCTTAATGAGGAAGAAGGGCGCCTTGACGTTCAAGTCCATGATCTTGTGCCACGCCTTCTCCGTGTGCAAGTCGAAGCCGCCGCCCCAGCTCGCCCCCTAGCAAGAACGTCAGATGCGCCAATGCCAAGAGAGCGCCTACCGAGTTGTTGATGAGGACGTCCAGCTTGGTCTCTTTGGCTTGGAGCGACGACACGACGTGCTCGATACCGGCATCCGTGCCGAGGTCCGCAGGAATCTACGGCGATATTGCACATCCGGCGCGCAGCCTTATTGATCTACCGCAATGCACTGGCCAGGACCTAGAGACACATCGTCATGTTGCGCCAAAGAAGAGCAAGGCGGCGTACCGACGGCCGTGAGCTCGGCGGCGGTCTGATCGCAGACCTTGGCGTCGCGCGACGAGATGTACACCTTGGCGTGGTTGCGCACAAAGGCCTCGGCGATCATCTTGCCAATGCCGCGCGATCCGCCCGTGATAAGCACCTACATACACGCTCGTAGCACGCGCGACGTGCATGCGACGACGTACTGTTTGGTCCTTGACAGCAAAGAGCTTCGTGACCTCCATGATGCGATTTGGAATTTGACTTGCGGCAACTGCAAGCGCCCGAAAGCTCCGATTAACTAATCATCGCTGCAAGCCGTGGGATTGGTGCGGCCAAGATCGAATTTTATCCAATCGGTACGAAGCTTGCCATGCCCGGCGTTAAGATCGCGCCATTTCCAAACACATTGTGTACCTGGTCCGAGAAGAAGATCGGCCTCCACTTGCCGCGGTGGACACTTGCTGTCGTGGTTTCGGCCTTGGACCGCAGAAAGCTTATGAAAGCACCAAACGAACCTCGTAGTCTTCGACAGGCAGGGTCCACTTCGCGGCAGTGTCCACATGACTATGATCTTATCATCATCATAATCGCATTGAGCACTTCAAAATCTCTGTTGTACGCGTAGCACCCAGGTCTGCTAATGCCCATACAACTACATATCCTAGTGTCCCAAGCGTTAATGATGCATGGGCTGACTTGGCTTCGTGGTCATAAATTATAAATAAAATCTCGGCTGGGGAAATCCTGTCGTCGCATCCCGTTGAAGTTGGCGATGGGCAACATTTTCTACCAATCACCGTCTCGCTTGCGCTGGATTGGCTGAAAAGGTGGTCGGCAGGTTGGCCAATGGCCTTGCGCGGTGACAACGAACTGCGATGATGGGCACGGAGGCTGACGCGGATGGCCGGTACTTGCCGCTCGGGCTGCCGGCAGTCCCTCCCAGCAACGATCCGCAGCGACTCCTGGCATATGTACTTCAAGTGCTACCGCAATACACGGCAATGGAGCTCAGCGCGACGCACTACCGCCTCTACACGCAGCAGCTGCGGACCGAAGTCGACCGATGGAAGCAGCAGGCGACAATGACGATGCAGCGCTTACTGGACGAAGAAGACAAGCGCGTCTTTATGGAGCGGTACGCTGCCGAGGTTGTGAAGGAGCGCAACGATGTCTTGCACCACAAGGGCGCCAAGAAGCACAAGGTGTGGCATAACTGCTGTCGGCAGCACGCGTCGTACGACTTGGACGTGACGCCATCGATCGTGTCGCTTCGCGGTGAGAAGCTCACCGAGTGCAGCCTGGAGCTCAAGCAAGCACGCGCTTCGCTACTCGAGAAGGATCGGCTCCTCGACGCCGCCCACGAGCTCCTCAACACCAAGCAAATCGACTTTGACGCGTTCGTCAGCGCCGCGCGTAAGGAAAAGGAGCAGCTCGAGCACCAGCTTGCGACGCGTGCGGGGCTTCAAGGCTCGCAGGAGCGCCGCCTCGCCGACGTCGAGCGCCAGCTGTGGGACGATCAGCAGGCGCTGGCCGAGAAGAACGCTGGTCTGGACCAGCTCCACGACCGCATCGACGACTTGGAGCAGCAATGCAGTCGCCTTCAGAACGACGTTGTCACCAAAGCCACTGCGATCTCGGGCCTCGAAGCTGAGGTGCGCCGTCTCCAGTCGACGCTCCGAGATACGCAAGAGCAGCTCGTGACGTGGCAGCAGCAGGCGCAAGAAAAGGACATGGAAATCGAGTCGCTCCACGGCCAAGTCGAAGCGCTCTCGACGGCCGACTTGCAATCGCTGCAGGCACGGTATGCCAAGCAGATTGAGACGCTTGTCGCGCAGCACGAGGCCCAGATTCGCGCGTACGAAATGCAGCTGCGTCCGCCGCCACCCGTACTGGAGCCGGCGCCAGCGCGGTCCATGTCGCGGAGCTTTGAAGCGCGCATGACCCTCGATGAGATCTCGTCGTCGGCCGAAGACAGTGATGACAAGCCGCTGTTGAGTCCTTCGTACTTTCAGTCGCACACCTCGAGCCCGTTCCAGACACCGTGCCGGCAAACGCCGCTGCCAGCACACTTTCGACGGCACTCGGAAGGCACGCGGTCGTCGACACCGCCCAACGTTCGTCGACGACTCCTCGAGAACGACTTGTCGATGCTCTCGTCGTCTTCGGCCGCGTCGTCCAAAGCGTCGCAACACTCTTCGTCGCGCACGCCCGAGCGCCAAGCCATTGTGAGTCGGCTACATGCGCTCGTGCAAGAGAGCGAACAGCGGCGAAAGCTCGAAGAGTCCCGGGCTGAGGAAGATCGCGTCGCCCTCGAAGCGCTCAAGCAGCGATTACAGGCGCGACAGACTGTGTAATTGAAAGCATAATTCGAAGATCCCACGTGGCTTGTTCCATCACCCCATCATCACAAAAAAATCGTCCATACCCGAAAGCTGCAAAATAAGGGCATTTGGCGTCGCTGCCGAATGTATGCGTCAAGCTACAGGAGTCAGTTGTCGGTCCACCGGCGAGCAATTCGCTCTCGTTAGCAATTTCTTAACCACTTTCAAGTGCCACTTGATCACCGATACGAGTAAGGACCGAGACGAAGCTAATCTATCTATCTACCTACCTATCTACCTATCTACCTATCTACCTATCTACCTATTCACCTAGTATCGCACCGGGATACCTATACATTTAGCGCAAATATTGATCAAGCAAAAACGTATTGCTCGTCGTAGAGTTGAAAACGCAAGAATGCATTATGAAACACAGAGTTGGCAATGGTATATCAGTGCTCCTCGTCGGGCGTCAAAATTTCGAGGAGCTTGCGCGGCGGCTGCTTGGCGAGGTACGCGGTTTGGGCCTCTTTGGTGCAAAAGACCTTGTGGCCATAGAGTTTTCGAACGTACGAATTGAGGAGGGTCGTCTTCGTTGGGTCTTGGAGCGCCTTGTTGACGCCGGCCAGAATCTTCTTTTGCGCTATCGCCGTGGCATCGTAGACGCTAAACGATTTGCCGAGGACCGACATGACAATGTTGAGCGACCCGTCAATGGTGGCTTTTGTGAGCACGAGGTTTTGCAGGTACGGATACGTCTCGCTGCAGGTGGCGTTGAGGCCGAGCGTGATCGTTTTGCGGCCGCCACAGCACGTGCTCGCATTGTCCAAGAAGGTTTTGCAGCCGATTTTCGGGATGCAGCCGTCGATCAGGAGACTAATGGGCAGCTCGTCGACGCTCACGCGGACGTCGACGTGCATCGAGCCGTTCTTGCCGACGAGAAGCTGCAGCGTGTCGATCTGCACCGTGTTGAGCCCCGAGACCCAGCGCGCTTTCACATCGTAAAAGTTGGCCTTGACAGCAAAGAGGTTGCCAATGTCCATGCACGGCTCGGGCCCGCCGCTGGCGCACGCCCCGAGAGACGCGGGAAGCGCGGTATCGGCAACACTCGATAAAATCGGCTTGAGCGACTGCACGACCGTGGATAGCTCCAGCGGCAAGACCGGTGGCGTCGGCGTCGCCACGACGCTGCAGAGACCCACGAGAGAAGCCAGCGAGAAAAGACGCATGCTGTCGAGAGCGCGATCAAATAAGAAATGAAAAGCAAAAGAGACTGCGTTCACAAGAGCGTGAGTAGCACCCGGTCACTCTGAGGTAATCGACGCGACCCAAAAGATCCCAGACGTCACGGTGAATGTACATACAGTGAGTGACCTGCTGTCTTTCTTTTGACGGCGACCGATGGAGCGTTAAAGCAAGAAATAGCTTGCAGTCCCACATTGCGCCAGACATGAAGGCGTACACTCAATGTTGCTCGTCAAGCAAGGGCGAACCATCGTAGTAGAAGAGGGTACAAGGTCGCCCACATTGCACAAGACGAGCCAAAATGAAAAAAGGTGAATGGGTTGAGAACCGTCTTGGGTCGCCTTGGGGATGCATGTGTGCGTTGCCGCCAGATCCAGTTGTGGACTGGTTTTGCGCATCATAGGGCTAGGGCAGTGCATTCCAACAAGCAAGGCAGGGTCCACGGTCATGCCAACGATTCGATTCTTCATACGGTACTATGCGCGTCATCCATGTTTTCCTGGCGTGGTGCCGACAACTCTAGTCCAATAAAAGCTTGTATCATGTTTTGCTGTCGTCGTGGCTGTGCAATGAGTCATTACGTGACGCCTCGCTTTGATCCCGAGCTACTTCCTGAAAGGTGCTCGGCTGTTACGAGTACTGACGACCAGTATTATGGTGGAAAGCACTACACCATGCAAGGTGGATAATCTAAATGTCAACAAAAATCGAAGACCGTTCGCACGATAAGTCCATGCATTAATTTGCATTAAAATTCAACTACTCGAATCTCTATGAATTGACTTGCCCACGACATCGCCCAACCAACCTCAACACCTTGCCCGCCGTTTAAAGCCTCAGCGAGTAACTTTGATCTCCGCCGGACTTTTTGGAGGTTGAAAGTTCTCCGTCCGTCGTTGCCTCGCTGAAATGGCCGTGCGCAAAGGGCTTGTGTTGTCACTCGGGTGTCAGCGCCAAAGCGGCCACGATCGCCTCCAAGCGGGGTACAATCGCAGAAAATGCTGGGCGGGCACTCGCGTCGTTGAACGAACACTCTTCAAGAAGGTGCAATACAGTCCGCGGCCACGGCTTGCGGTCCAGAATACGGGGCCGGTAGCTGCGCGTCGCGATTTCGTTTAGGAGCTCTTTCGGCGGCTTGTGTGCTTGCTCCGCGTACGGCGCGACACAGTTCATCGTCTCCACCATGACTAGAAGTGCATCATGAGTCATGAACGTCGTCGTTGATCAAGGAACGTACGCATGGCAAAGCTGTAGACGTCCACCTTTTCCGAGTAGTTTGGTTCACCGCGCAAGATCTCGGGTGCTGCCCACGCTGGCGTCCCAATCAGAGTCTTATCGCGGCCAAGTTGGCCGCTAAACTCAAAATTCGTGATTTTGGCTGTCAAGTTGTCACTATGCGTCAGATGACGTGAGCTACACCAACTCTAGGTGGTCATGCCACGTACGAGAGGTTGATGTTGGCGGCGCGAAGGTCGCGGTGCAAGACTGGCACTGACTTGTTATGCAAGTACTGCATGCCGCGGGCCACGTCCAGGAGGATGCAAAGTCGCTCGAGCACTGAGAGTGTATTCGTGTCATTGGCCAAGGCGTTGGCGAGGCTGCCGCGCTCTGGCTTTTCCGTGATGAAGGATCTATGAGGTGGTTGTCATGAACACCTCCAAGCATTGATACTCAAGCCAAACGTACACTGAGGTCGTGTCCGAGCTGACCCCATAGAAGGGTACGATGTTGGGGTGGTGGAGGCTCATGCACATGCGCGCGACTCGGTTCACTTCGCGCACTTTGGCGTCGGTCGGCGCAGAGATTTGCTTGGCAATGACGCTGGCGCCACAGTACGTTGCATCAGACACAGAGGTCCACAGCGGGCTCTTGTGCAAGTCTGCGTCTGCCACGAGTGTAAGGTGCGCCGCTGGCACATGGAACGGACGGGGCAGACAGGCTTGGATTTCAGTCGAAAAAGGAGACTCTACTGTTGGACTGGAAGCATCCACGTGTTCTGTCTTGATGCGTTTAGCTGCATTGTTCGAGGCGGTAGGCGATGCAGGTGGCGATGAGTCTTTGCGCTTGAGGCTGGAAGTGGCGCTTGTAGAGAGAGTGGTCAAAGCACATGGGGTGATCGCGGTCTGGGCGTGCTGCATTGTGATTGAAGGAGAGCGGTGTATGAGCTCGACGGGATATTGGGAAGTGAAATCGTTTTGTCGTGTATTTTCGAGGACACTTTTTATCCACTGGCTCCATTCTATACTATTAATAGTATGTGCAATATAAAGCCAGTTTCTATCACGATAGTATCCAGCATGATAACAACTTTTCACGTGACCCAAGGTCACGTGAAAAGTTAAATACCCGGGTAAGCCCGATCCTCGAGTTGACAAGAAAAGTCTCATTCTAACCGCGCTCGCAACGCCATTTTTGCTAGCTTGATGGTTCATGTTGTATTTGGCATGCGATCGACCCCACATTTTCTCTCAAGTCCACCATAAACGCACCTTTGTGTACAGTTGATACCTGCGATGGCTTCATGCATTGCGCTGCGTAAACTGCGCACTCGACAACCACCGTCGTGTGTGCTACCATTGCAGACCAATTAAACTACGTTATATAATCATGATCGAGTGTTATGGCTTGAATGACTCGTGTACCGGCTCTGTCCTTGTGGCCGAATCACTCGCATGTGCGGCGACGGCACGACGATCGGTGATGGTGCCTTGTAAATAGCAACGGACGGCTGAGGCGCCCGTCGTAGCCGATAGACATAGAGAGCAACGAGAGCAACGCCCACAAGGACAAGTGGGAGCACGATGTAGGGCAGGATACCAAACGACCGCGTATCTTCAAGTGCCAAGAGCACTTCTTCAGTCGTGACCACCGGCGTCGTGACGGCAGTGCTGTTGCTGACAATATTCTCGGCTTCAAGTGCACGTCG